ATAATAAATCAAACTCTAAGCCAAGACAGGACACATGTTTCAATACATGGAAGAACAGAGAAATCTGCTTCTGGTTGGAACAGCCACAGCTATTTTAAACTCGGTAAAGGTTAAAGATCAGAAAAAGTCCCTTCAATTCAAAAACATACCTGTGTGAGGTAAGAAGCAACCATTGATCATACGGCATATTCTCTAAAATTCATTAACAAGAAATGCATTTGAACCTTTGATGCGCGGTGGTGGCACAATGGCAAAAAGTCAGTGTCAAACTTCAGAGGTTCAAGGTTCGACTCCCGAAAAAGGTGAAATTGTCCTAATCGCTAATTTGCATCATTAAGGAGACTTCGACATTGAAAATGCACACTCAAGAGTGATTTAACCAGTGCGACATATGCAGGGATGGAGATACTGGCGAACCCTATGTTACATGACCTGTTTTGTTGACTGGCTTTGACACTGTATGCTGACCTGAAAACTCGGTGAATAAACACTGGATGCAGTGCAAGAGTTTAACCCATCTAAAGCCACACTAACGAGCACACTAACGAGTCACTGTTATTGGAGGAAGTCTACATAATCTTGAAGACGAAAAGAATTCGAAGAATCTATCCTCTCGGTGGAGAACATCAAAGAACATACAGAAATCTACAATCAGCGATGGAAAGATGTACTGAGGAAAATGGTGTCAAATAACGGACAGAATACGCGCGCCTTCTTTCATTATAGCCATATTCATAAGTAAATCTGTTATGGTGATACTTAGAGAGAGATTTCATTTTACTCATTTTCAAAGGTCCTGAATGTTCAGGTCAAATTACAGTCAGAGCTGTTGACAGATCGCTGCCTCACTGTTTGCAAATTCTGCCTTTTAAAATTGATACCGATTCACAAGACAGATAGTAGAACCAAAATTTTCCCGCCGAATAAAAATGGGAAGCCTTGCAAGATGTAGGTTTGGATACACGGTGAGCGTATGACCAGGAACAACGAAATATCCAGTATAGCACGATAAAAAGGGGAAAATGGGAGCAGCTCGCAGCATCCTCATGTAAATGTAGGCTAAAGGGCTTGATGACAAACTGTCAGTCAGAAAACAGTTCTGTAAAGGAAATGAGAAGCGCAAGAGACCGTCATTGTCAAACAGAAGGCTCGTTTGATCTGATTTCGCTGAGAAAGTTCATATCTTCTTTTCTTTAGGTTGAAACTCGAAAAGTTGCGGAAAAGCAGGTGGAAACAGCAAAAGCAAGGCAATTCGAATCGTGGAAAAACAAAGTTGACTTTGCCTGCTGATTAGCAAACAAAGAAGCAGTATGAGTGACATCTGCCTAGATAGAACTCCCCAAAAGGTATAAGGAGATCTGTCAACACCCAGTGATCACTGGTTCGCCAGCCGACCGTGTCTGAGTTCACGCCGGTCTTTCATTGGTACTGTAAAAGATGTGTTTCTTGTCTGCATTAGTAGCTAATGCTCTAGAATTCCTTTAAATTACCTTCAACTACTGAAGAACCTTGCTAAAAAAAAATAGGAATTGGCCTACTGTCTAGTTTAACAAGAGATTAACTTCTCCACAGTCGAACTTCACGGCGTTTTGCAGAAAAGTTTTTCATCTGCCAGATGACTGATGGATATCTAAAATATTTAAGACAGTCATCTCTCGATCAGGCAATTAAACTCAAGGGGGCGGTGCAATACGTCGTAAAATTGAGTAGCTAAGCGCCTTCTAACATTGCAACCCATATTTCGCATCTCTTACCTAGTTCACCAATTCTGCCATCTGTCACCTATGTAATTCTGTCTTCATATGCAGTTACCATCTGGACCCCCTTAACGGTGCCTCAAGGTCACTAATGGCACAGCAAAAGCCACTTAGCAACATTTCTAGCTGACCTTTACTACTACTCCGATCACCCGCAAGGGCAGAAGCCTGTGCATTGTGAAATAAATCTGAAACTGAACTCCAGCCAATTTCCGCATGAGAAGAGTGTACATTTCACCTAACTTATCCTTCAGCTGCATTTTCTTCTAGCTTGCTTTTCACTTCTTTCGTTACCTCGTTCTCCTTTTCTCTTTTTCTTCCTCCTTTTTATTATTATCCCGTAATTACTGTCACCATTCCTCTCCTTTTTCGACTCACCACATTCTCTCTTCCTCTTAATACCTCTGATCCTTATTCATTCATCCCTCATCGCCGAAATAGACGACATGGATACTTGCCCCAAACTAACCACACGTAATATGAATAGCAAGTTTTCATCACTCCATGCAATGCCACAACATCAATCATAGTTGTTTTAATTAATATATTACTTGAGTTCGCTGCTTTTCACACCACCGGAAGCGAGCAGATCCCGGACCCTTTCGTAGGTCAGTACGTAGGTGAGGCCTGAGCAAACCTGAAAGGAGTTGATCCAAAAACCTCTGTACAAAGCAGTCGGGCCTTCTTCACGGAGAATGCCGCTCAACGTAGCCAATGCTCCACGATAGGGGCCTCCTTTTGACGTCACCTGCATCCTAGTCTTGACGAGGGTTAACGGATACAACAGCGCTCGAACACCCAATGAAGACATGATGTTCAGAGAGGCGAATTTTGACTTTTTCATCATGTCCCATTCAATCACCTCTACCTGTTTTGGTTGACAGGTGTTAGATAAGTCCAAGCTAGCCATCGCTGCTTTTCACATCCTCTTGACTTCGCTCTTCACAACAGAAACGTCTAAAACATGCACACTGCAGAACGACATACAGAAACACAAAAATAGGAATAGGATAGGGATAGAAAAAACCATCGCATTAAATCCTTTCAAAGACAGTTTTAACAATCAAAATCGAATTAATACTAAGCCAGATTTGGAACTTGCATGAGAAAAACACATAAGCAAATACAGTTTCCGTCAGTACACAAGCAATAACGGTCAATTTTAATAAAGTACTGGTTGAAGATCTCTTCAAACATTGTCTCCCAAACTCTAGAAGCAAAATACACCCAAATGACAGAAAATACGCAAAACCTGAAAAACTTAACGTGTTCATACGCGTCATACTTTCGATTACATCGTTCCATAAAATCTCATCTGACATGCTACAGTGGCATCGTGCTGTCTGCCTCTACCGTTTAGAACGGGTACGCTTCCGTTGCCAACTA